GTAGTTAACCAGGAGACCCCTTCCATTGTGACTTCCATTGCCGGTCAGCACCGGGGAACTCCTCCGCCTGGATGCTATTGCATCACCCCTTTTCCCAGTCATTCTGGGGCTCCCTTGGTTGCGGGCCCATAACCCCCAAATTGACTGGGAGACTGGGGTTGTCTCGTTCCCTTCCCCATATTGTCGGGAACTGTGTCGAACTTCGGGCCCGGAGGTCCCCAGGTCCTCCTGTGCTCTGAAGGGATGACAGCCTAAAAACAAGTGATTCCTGCAGCCTACCATAAGTTTCTTGATGTGTTCAGTGAACGGGAGCAGTTGCTCTACCCCCCCACCGCCCATATGACTGTCCTATTGATCTGTTACCCGGTTCTGAAATTCCGTTCGGGCAAATTTTTCCCCTTTCTGAGCCAGAATTAGGGGCCCTGAAGGACTAATATTGAGGATAGCCTCCGAAAGGGATTCATCCGTCCCTCCACTTCCCAGCAGGTGCAGGGATCTTCTTTGTAGAAAAGAAGGACAAGACTTTGAGGCCATGCATTGACTATCGGGAGCTGAATAGGGTCACCATTAAAAATCGTTACCCATTACCACTGGTACCTGAATTATTCCAGAGCCTAAAAGCTGCAGTAGTGTTTACCAAGTTGGACTTAAGGGGAGCCTACAATTTGGTTCGCATAAGGGAGGGGGATGAGTGGAAGACGGCCTTCCGCACCCGTTTCGCCATTTTGAATACCTAGTCATGCCTTTCGGGTTGTGCAATTGCGCCAGCCACCTTCCAGCACTTTGTAAACGACATCTTTAGGGACTTCCTGGACATCTTTGTCATCGTCTACTTAGACGACATTTTGATTTTTTCATCCTCCCTGGGGGAGCACAGGGTACATGTAACAAAGGTGTTGGGGCGGTTGCGGCAGCACGGGTTGTGTACGCTAAAGCAGAGAAATGCTGCTTTGAACAGGCTAGCGTTACATTTCTGGGTCTGATTATCTCCACCACGGGGGTCGCGATGGACCCCTCAGAAGGTCTCAGCGATCCTAGATTGGCCTGAACCTACGGACAGGAAAGGTGTCCAACGTTTTATTGGGTTCGCAAATTTCTACCGGAAGTTCATCAAGAACTTCTCGGGTCTGGTCTCCCCCATCACTCAGTTAACCAAGCTTGGGACGCGATTCAGATGGACGCCCGAGGCACAGGAAGCTTTTGAAGCACTAAAAAGGTTATTTACCTCGGCACCCATTCTGGGTCATCCCGACGCCTCCCTGCCCTACATCTTAGAAGTAGATGCATCTGAAAACGCGGTTGGCTCCATCCTTTCCCAGCGGAAGGGCGCCAAGGAATTACTTCACCCAGTAGCATTCTTTTCACGGAAACTTACCCCTGCGGAGAGGAAACTATGACATTGGGGATCGCGAGCTACTGGCTATCAAAAACGCCTTAGAGGAATGGAGGTACCTGCTGGAAGGTGCCTCCCATCCCATCCTGATATTCACGGACCACAAAACCTGGAATATCTGAGGACGGCCAAACGTCTACGCCCACGACAAGCAAGATGGGCATTGTTTTTCTCGAGGTTCCAGTTCCACATCACATACAGGCCCGGCTCGAAAAACACGAAGCCTGACGCGTTGTCGCGCATGTACGAGGACACCAAGGAGATTCCAGTGCCCGACACTATTCTTCCTGCAGGAAATTTCTTGGCCCTTCAGACAAACCTTCGCTCCGAGATCCTGAGAGCGTCCACAGCAATGTCCACCCCCGATGGGGCCCCCCTCCAGAACAAGGAGGGACTCCTATGGAGGGAGGACCGGATTGTGGTGCCGGAGGATGCCCGAACCTTAGTCTTGGGACATTGCCATGACCATCCACTGGCAGGACATTTTGGGCCGGTCAAGACCCTGGAACTTCTCAGACGTTCCTTCTGGTGGCCGGACATGGCCAAGGATTGTAGGAACTACGTGGGCTCCTGTGCCATCTGCCAGCGGAACAAGCCTTCAAGAAATAAGGCGTGGGGCCTGCTACGTCCATTGCCCATCCCTGAATGGCCCTGGCAGAAAATCTCCATGGACTTCATAGTCGAGCTTCCACCTTCACTGGACCACACAGCAATTCTCGTGGTCGTGGACCGCTTGTCCAAGATGGCCCATTTCATCCCTTTACGGAAGACTCCATCAGCAGCCGAAGGCGGCGCAAGTCTTTATTCGAGAGATCGTTAGACTGCATGGGGTTCCCGAAGACATCGTCTCGGACCGAGGGGTGCAGTTTACCTCGCGGTTTTGGAGGGCATTGTGCAAAGCCCTGGATATCAAGCTGTCCCTTTCCTCGGCATTTCACCCTCAGACCAATGGCCAGACCGAAAGGACAAATCAGACCCTGGAGCAATACCTTCGATGCTACACATCATTCTCTCAGGACGACTGGGTGCCACTCCTCCCTTTGGCAGAATTCGCGTACAACAACGCTTGCCATTCAGCAACTGGGCAGTCCCCGTTCTTCGCCAACTATGGGTTTTCATCCTGTCTTCCTCCCGGACTTGGTCCCGGAATGCCCGATTCCAGCGACACAGGATGCACTGACCTTCTTCACCTCCAACAATAGGAAACTACAGGAAGCCATCCGTCAAGCCCAAGAAGACTACAAGAGGGCTTTTAATAGGAAGCGAAGAGGGGATCTGGTGTTGCAGCCCGGAGAGAAGGTTTGGCTGGCTACGTCAAACTTGAGGATGCTCTGCCCGTCAAAGAAGTTGGGACCTAAATTTATAGGCCCTTTTTGCATCAAACGGATGGTCAATGAGGTGGCCTATGAACTTGTTCTCCCTGAGACACTCAAGATCCACCCTGTCTTCCACGTGTCCCTGTTGAAACCAGTAGTCCCTGATGCCTTCCCGGAACGGGAATCCAGGCCCCCGGAGGCCGTAACGGTTGAAGAGGAAGAAGAATTCGAGGTGGAGGCAATCTTGAAGTGCCGACGAAGGGGGGGCCAGACCCAATTTCTCATCAAGTGGAAGGGCTACGGCCCTGAGGACAATTCGTGGGAACCAGCCCATAATGTCCATGCACCTAGGCTTGTCCGGGGGTTTCTTTGTGATCACCCGTGGTGGAGAGATCGGGTGAGCATCCGGAGGTTGCCCGTAGGGGGGGGCAATGTCAGGGATCTCCTCGATCCCCGCCGCGATGGGCCCCGGCGCAGGCGCACTGCTCCACCCAGTACACGGGCACTAGGTCCGGGCCGGCCGCGGCGTTCGAGTTCGCGCATGCGCAGTAGAAGCCGCGGCCCGCCCGCTGGGCACCAATGGCAGCGCAGGGCGGGGATATTTAAAGGTCCCTGAGCTGTCATTTCATTGCCTTCTGGTCTTACCTGCTTCCTGTGTTCCTGTACCTGTGCCTAGTAAGTTATTGACCCGGATTACTCTTGACCTTGCTGATTTCTCTTGCCCAGACCCTTGCTTGCCTGACCTCTCTCCCTGGATGCCCCTTATTAGATCTGACCTCCTGTTGCTGACCTGGCGTGTGACCCGACGATTCTCTGCCTGCTCCCTTGTACCTTACCGTCCTCTACATTACCGACTCGGCCTGTCTGACTACGCACTTGCTCAGCCATCCATCCATCCATCCATCCCATCGGGGTCACCCGACCTCCTCACATCTGGCTCTCCCTGGTTGGAACCCCTGGCGAACACCACTACCACTGACAGGTGTGCTCAGTAGAGGCGACCTGGTCTCGGGGTACTACAAGTCCATCCCCACCATCAGGGGCCCTGGTGAACAAGTACCCTGGGGCTTAGACTCAGCACTCTGGGCACGCCTGACCAGTGGAGTGCTAGTGGTGCCGCTCGGCGGTCCCACACACATATACACACAATACACAGGAAGTCACACACAGGTACGTTTTTAACCAGCATTTACACCATTAATTATTCTAAGCATGTGAAAGACCCACTACTGGATGAACACCTGCCCTGGCACATCATAGCATTCACTCAGCACTCCTAGAAATAACAGAATCCAACTGCAATATTCTTGCACTGTGAAAATCTCCACTTTTATTAGCACATGACACACAGGAGGATATATCTTATAGTCATCACAATCTGCATAATAACACACACCAATAATAATGTGAGCATTACAGCATGAAATGGACACATCTTTTGACAGTGTGACAGCATAGAATTAATACACGACCAAAGCTATAGAAAGATGGGAAGGAACAGACCCCATCAGAACCATAATCCACAGGGGGTCATGGAGAAGCAGTAACGCGACCAACTGATGAGCCCAGATAGCCTTGGCAAGAGTCCCAGCGTCTGAGCGTCTTTTTTGCATTTGTGCATAGGAAGGGGCTGGCTCCCGTAAATTACACTGAAGCTTCCTGTTTTAAGCCTTTTTTCTGGCAGCATTCCCAAAGTGGGCGGGTGCCACACCCACTCTAGGAGGAGCTATCAGAAAGGTTCCATGAGGATAACAGGGTCACAGCCAGTAACTACACTGAACAAATAATGTTTATCTAAGAATATCACACTTTTGCTTCAGATCAGCTTCTTATCTACCCAAAACTTAAATATTTCTAACTTCTCAAACAAGTAAACATCTTTAATTGCACAAACAAGTTCTTATCTAATTTAAGCAGTCTAATGTAACACTTCTAGATGTCACAAATATGTTTCAATCCCACAAACACTCTTTATCTGCTTTAAGCTCTGTTCCTTGGGCCTAGAGAAATGACATCAATGTCTCATGCTCCTGGCATCTGGGCAACAATGCGTTTATTGTAAAAAATTACCCAAGAAACAAAGGGTCCAAGGCCAACACATTTCATAGGCCAAGCCCAACCCCTGAAAAAACAATCCCACGCCATCCCGCGGCTTCACAAAACTTTACACTTGGTACAATGCAGTCAGGCAAGTACTGTTCTCCTGGCAACCGCCAAACCCAGAACACATCCATTGGATTGCCAGACAGAGAAGCATGATTGGTCACTGCAGAGAACACGTCTCCACTGCTCTAGAGTCCAGTGGCGTGCTTTACACCACTGCATCTGCTGCTTTGCATTGTACTTGGTGCTACTCAGCCATGGAAGTCCATTCAATGAAGCACTTTACAAACTGTTTTTGTGCTAATCTGAAGGCCACATGAAGTTTGGAGGTTTTTAGCTATTGACTCTGCAAACACTTGATGACTTCTGCGCACTGTGCTCTTCAGCATGCGCTGACCCCACTCTGTCATTTTACGTTGCCTACCACTTCGTGGCTGAGTTGCTGTTATTCCCAGTTGCTTCCACTTTGTTATAATACCAATAACAGTTGACTGTGGAATATTTAGTAACAAGGAAATTTCATGGATGGACTTACTGCACAGGTGACAACCTATCATGGTACCACGCTTGAATTCACTGAGATCCTGAGAGTGACCCATTCTTTCACAAATATTTGTAGAAGCAGTCTGCATGCCTAGGTGCTTGATTTTATACACCTGTGGCCATGAAGGTGATTGAAACACCTGAACCCAATGATTTGGAGGGGTGTCCCAATACTTTGGCAATATAGTGTATATTGAGGGACCTAAACTTATTTTTATTTATTTATTGTGGCATAGTGTGAAACCTTTTCTTGTGTATATGCTAAAAGCAAGGGAGTTGTAGGGTGTGAATTGAAAGCAACAAAGTCATTTAACAGCTAAACAAGATGACTGCTGCTCTTGCGTTTCATTTATGTGGATAAAGATACATATCTGATACACACTGTTTCTGTATAAATGTCCTTTTCACAAAACATAGTCCTTGCAGTTGTTGAGCCATAGATCAACAGTCACTTTTCTGATACCAAGTAATGTTACTTCCTGACATTATAATTCTTTTTGATACCTTTATGGATATCCAGGCATCAGTAGACACTGGAATTGAAGAAGAAGAAGAAGGAACACAAGATAAGGTGCATACTAAAAGTTCCATCACTTACCTTTGAACAGTGTCCTTTTTTTGCAGACCATGTGACCCAGACTTGAGTAGCATATAAAGTGACAGCTCAATGTAGCACAGTGATTATAATTACATTAGAGATAATATGGTGGTGAAAAATCAAGAGTCACTAGCTATTGCTGTACACATACTAACAACTTTCCCATGTTCCTGTCTGTGTTTAGGATTTACTACACTTTAAATTCCAGCATCAGCTCTATTTGACTTTAGTAATTTAGGAGCCTTTTATCCAAAAGCACCAGTAATACAATTGATGTTCTTTTTTGGAGAATTAGTAGAATGTGGAAACAACTTGCAGAAATACTTGCATCTCAGTAAGTTTTTACTGTAATGACAGGCTGAGTATTTGAACTCTATCTTGCATCGATGCTTGTCATCATAAATTTCCAGTGTCCATTTATTGGAGCTGTATTTCATTTTAATGTTCAGACAATCAGTTGTCCAGGTCAAAGCACTCCAGTTGATTGTTGCACGGCTATGGTTTATTTTAAATTACATATGTTGTTCTTATAATAGTAACCCATGAACTACTTGGATTCTGAAAATTCTCAGAAGTCTTGTCTAGCCCCCAATATGTATTACACACACATATTGTATGTACTTTCAGTTGCTGTGTGAGTACATGTCATGGAATCAGTCAACTCTTGCATTGCCAAAAGGTTCTGTGTTCACCCAGCAAAGAATGACTATGATAACCATGATATACATAATATTACTGGATACCAACATTTACAGGTAAAGTTGATCCAGGGAATATCCAATTGCCTCTTAGGTGATCAGGATGGCAGTTTTTCCCCTGCAGGAGCAAATTGGATCATGCTTTGTTGTTGTATAGGATTATAACTTTTTTTTGTTATTGAACTGGATGGACCTTTGTCTTTTTTCAGCCAGACTAACTAAGTAACTATGACTACTTACAAATGAGTAGGTGTATGTGGGTGTCATGTATGTTGGAAGGGATACAGGTAGGTAGGTGTGTGTGTGTCTGTGCCCATAGTTTGTATGGATATCTTCTTTTAAATAGCCTTGATTTTCCATCTTCAGCCCCAGCACACTTTCATTCCACTTCTGTTCCTGTCAATGGTGCCCTTTTAATGGACTTCTTCAGAAGCCCATATAGAGGCATACCTTTGCATTGTATAATTGAATGGGACATGGGATTGCAAGCAGCTATTTCCTTGACATGCAAATAAAGCACAAACAATATATTTGGAGAAAACTTTGTCCGCTGCCTTTATTATTGCTTTACACATAAACAAAAAATAAGTATATAATTTCATAGATATTGAATTAAATACACTCAAGCTGAATTTATACTACTATAACAGCATTAACATTATCTGTCTCGCTTTTTTAGAAAAAAAAAGTTGACCCACCACATATATATAAAGATTGTGACAATGGAGGGAGGGAAGGGGAACTCCACTGCGGTCCAGCTCCAACTGTGACTGGCAACTGCTTGTCCTGGAGTCCCCTTTATATAATCAACCCAATGAGTTCCAGAAGGTTCTAAGGTCAGCTGACCAGGTTTTAAGGTTTCCCATTTTTACAGTTACAAGGCTTCCCACATACTCCAGCAATGCGGGGAGACTTGAAACTGCAATCCCATGTGGAAAAGGGGGGCCTTGAAACCTGTTTTCCCCATTTTCATTTTATGGGATTGCAAATAAAACACAAACAATATATTTGTAAAAAATGTTTTTATTGGTTTACGCGTATACAATAAATAAGCATGTCTTTTGTTTAATAAATATTTAATTAAATGCTTTTAAAACCTCACATCAATCTCTGAGTCAGCTCAGCTATAAAAGCTCAAGCTGAATTTAAACAACTAAAAGAGCATTGACATCCATTTTCCCCATATAGCCAAGGGGCAGTTTTAACAGCCGCTCTGGCTACCACCCTAAACTGTGGCCATTTCTATACATGTTTGGAAATCTTTATTTAAAATATTCAGTTCTATATCAGAAAGACAGACGCCATCATCTCTGTACAGACCTGGAATTCCACCCTCTAAATCAGTATGTCAGAAGGATAATCCATATTCTAAAGACATACATTTTTCTAACATTCTATTTATATATTTACATAATTTTTGAACAGTTTCAATGCAAGAAGACCAACACAGGTAAGGCACAACCTCAGAAAAAACAATCACAATACCTGGTGAAAAGACTTAAGATGTTGAATATTTTTTTCATTTGAAAAATCAAATCTATGGTATTACGTAGAGATGAGCGAATCGAACTTGGCGAAGTGGAATTCGTTTCGAATATTAGGAAAAATTCGATTCGCGCCGAATCCGAAAATTAGCAAACTTCGGATGCACGAATCGAATTTTCCCCGATCGGCCGATTTTCATCCCTTCTACAGCCGGCAAAAAGTGTCCCTGCAGAGAGCTCCGCTATTTCTGACAGTTCTCTGACAGTTCCTTCACATTTACAGCGGTTGAAACATTGTATCTATTTGTTTCCATTTAGGATACAGATGTTTTTATTCGGAAACAAATAGATACAATGTTTCAACCGCTGTAAATGTGAAGGAACTGTCAGAGAGACTGTCAGAAATAGCGGAGCTCTCTGCAGATACACTTTTTGCTGTACTGGAATTCTTCTTATTTTCATCCTACTTCTTCTTCTTCTTCTTCTTCATACTCATCCTCATCCTCTTCTTCTTCTTCTTCTTCTTCATCCTCATCCTCTCTTCTTCTTCTTCTTCTTCTTCTTCTTCTTCATCCTCATCCTCTTCCTCTTCTTCTTCTTCATCCTCATCCTCTTCTTCATCCTCATTCTCTTCTTCTTCATCCTCATCCTCTTCTTCTTCATCCTCATCCTCTTCTTCTTCTTCATCCTCATCCTCTTCTTCTTCTTCTTCATCCTCATCCTCCTCTTCTTCTTCTTCTTCTTCATCATCCTCATCCTCTTCTTCTTCTTCTTCTTCTTTCTTCTTCTTCTTCTTCCTCACCATCATCCTCTTCTTCTTCTTCATCCTCATCCTCTTCTTCATCCTCATCCTCTTCTTCTTATTCTTCTTCTTCATCCTCATCCTCATCCTCTTCTTCTTCTTCTTGTTCTTCCTCATCCTCATCCTCTTCTTCTTCTTCATCCTCATCCTCTTCTTCTTCTTCTTCTTCTTCTTCATCATCCTCATCTTCTTCTTCTTCATCTTCATCCTCTTCTTCTTCTTCTTCTTCTTCTTCATCCTCATCCTCTTCTTCTTCTTCTTCTTCTTCTTCTTCTTCTTCTTCCTCATCCTCTTCTTCTTCTTTTATTTCTTCATCCTCATCCTCATCCTCTTCTTCTTCTTCATCCTCATCCTCATCTTCTTCTTCTTCATCCTCATCCTCTTCTTCTTCTTCTTCTTCTTCTTCTTCTTCTTCTTCTTCTTCTTCTTCATCCTCATCTTCTTCTTCTTCATCTTCATCCTCATCTTCTTCTTCTTCATCATCCTCATCCTCTTCTTCATCATCCTCATCCTCCTCTTCTTCTTCTTCCTCATCCTCTTCTTCTTCTTCTTCTTCTTCTTCTTCTTCATCCTCATCCTCTTCTTCTTCTTCTTCTTCATCCTCATTCTTTCTTCTTCTTCATCCTCATCCTCTTTTTCTTCTTCATCCTCATCCTCTTCTTCTTCTTCTTCTTCATCCTCATCCTCTTCTTCTTCTTCTTCTTCTTCTTCTTCTTCTTCTTCTTCTTCATCCTCATCCTCTTCTTCTTCTTCTTCTTCATCCTCATCCTCATCCTCTTCTTCTTCTTCTTCTTCTTCATCCTCATCCTCTTCTTCTTCTTCTTCTTCTTCATCCTCATCCTCATCCTCTTCTTCTTCTTCTTCATCCTCATCTTCTTCTTCTTCTTCTTCCTCATCCTCATCCTCTACTTCTTCTCTTCATCCTCATCCTCTTCTTCTTCTTCCTCATCCTCTTCTTCTTCTTCATCATCTTCTTCTTCTTCTTCTTCCTCATCCTCATCCTCTTCTTCTTCTTCTTCATCCTCATCCTCTTCTTCTTCTTCTTCATCCTCATCTTCTTCTTCTTCATCATCCTCATCCTCTTCTTCTTCTTCTTCTTCCTCATCCTCATCTTCTTCTTCTTCTTCTTCTTCTTCATCCTCATCCTCTTCTTCTTCATCCTCATCTTCTTCTTCATCCTCATCCTCTTCTTCTTCTTCTTCATCCTCATCTTCTTCAATTGAAGCTGCTTCTGCTCTGCCACTCTGCCATTGGACTCTTGATAGTCGTCTCCCCACACTGCTGCTGGGGGGACTTTTTAACATAGGCCTCTGTATGGCCTTCAATTTAAGCTGCTTACGCTTCGCCACTCTGCCATGGGCCCCTGTACCGCATCCTCATGCTGCTGCCAGGTCCAGAGTGTGTCATGGGTCCCTGTACGGCCTCCCATTGCTGCTGTCTCCATCGCCACACTCTGCCATGTGCCACTTTCAGGTCTCCTCACACTGCTGGTGGGTTCCATTTTGTCATAGGGCTGTATGGCCTCCCATTGCTGCTGCCTCCACCGCCACACTGTGGCTCCACACTCTGGTTTTGGCCCCGTGACTGCCCAAATGAGTGAAGTGTGCGGTGATTCTAAGATCGACGGCACTCATCTGCATGTCATACTGACTGACAGTATTATTTCTCTTCCCCAGCAGACTCCAAGGGCATTTAAATTAAAGGTACAGTGTTCTGCACTAATATAAAGGCTCTCTGAAGCCTAGAAACCCTTTTAATAAGTTAAATTCGCATCGAATCAAATTTATTCCGCAAATTCGGCGAATCAGCCGAATTGAATTTTTGAATAATTCGCTCATCTCTAGTATTACGTTTCCCAATATCATTGCCTCTGAGATAAAGAAGTAACAAATCAGGAAGGGCGCATCTAGCAGATAAACAACTAAGTACTGTCATCAATTCCTCCCAAAGCATGCCTCGCCTTCCAAATCAATAAACATAAAAGAGAAGTGGGTCCAGGTCTAAATTTGTCTTGTAACGTCAGCCAGCTGCTTTCTGATGTGCCCAATATATAAAAGAATGCCCTATAATCCATATGTTTGATGCTTACCTAAACAAGTCAAAGAAAACAGTGAGGTCTTATATATATATTGCATAAGTATTAGATTTCCATCCACCCAATTGTTTAAATTGTTTAGAATTCATCACAATTCTAGCTGCTTCTGTAGCCGCTCCTGGATCCTGAAAGAATGGGATGAAATCTTTTTTTTTTCCCCAAAAACAATTTTTATTGAGAAAAGAGGCACAATGATAACATATACAAGTTACATTCAGATCATGGATAGTCTCAGCAAATGCAAGTATCCCCTGTTGGGATATACATCTGAAGTATACATAGTTTCATCACATAACAATGCTGAAAACAATAATAAACGAAAAACAAAATTCAAACAAAAACAGACAGGAAGGATGATGTGAACATAACACTTGGGTACATGAATTAGCAAATCATCATATAGTCCCTTTGATTACAGAATGCAATGCAATACACGGTGGAAGGGTGGTTATATCAGTGGGTTATTGGATGTCCACCCTTGGGGGTGGAAGCTTATGAACTGTATTTGTACCTGTGGGTCTTCCGGTAATCGAAGTTCGCCTAAACACCAAAAAGTGGGAAGGTAATGGTAAGAGTGTAGGATAGAGAGAGTGAGGAAAAAGAGGGGGAGAGGATTGGAAGAGCAAGAAAAAAAAAAAAAAAAAAAAGGGGGGGTGGGGAAGGAAATGGGGGTTGGCTGCAACTGCTCTGGGTGGATAAAATATTAACATCATCAAGTTGTAAAAATGTTAAGCATTTATGCAGAACTTTCATGAATAGAAATTTTGTCAATGACTTAACATTCACATGTAAGAACAGTAACTTACCTACCAAGGGTCTCAATGTAACATAGTTACTGAGCAACTGAACAGGGCAGATTGAAGTGTCTGGACATTTATAAAGAATAATCCAACTGGCCTTTCCCAGTTGATCCAATTTGAATGACCAAGGAAAATCCTCACCTTATCATCAAAAAGTAGTACATGTTCAAAGAAAATAACAGATGTACTATTGCAATTACTTGGAACCAGTTCAGATATGGGCAGGGAAATAAAGAAAGCAATTAAAAATGTGGTCTTAAAGAGAGTGGCCTCAAAATAGAGAAAAACTAATTTTCTCAATAACAGTGCATAATCTCCTCAATATGCTTGGTGTTATTGGGCATCTCTGGTCTAAATGAAAATCCCTTCATTGCTTGTCTTACTGAGAAGTTAAAACATGAAGGAACATTATGTAGTTTTCAAGGAAAAAGAAATACCCAAAATAATTTTTATTAATATGGGTCCAAGAATACTTTTTACCCATCAAGGACTACAAAAATAACAAAACTAAATTTTCTGAGAACATAAAAAGTAAAATGTTATTTTCATTTAAAAAAATTATCCACATAAACAATGCTGATGAATAACCTGACCATGTAAAAGGTGCTACAGACTATTGTACACTGCTTCCTGAACACCTTCCTGCCCGGCCTATAGCAGATTGATGGCCGGGCGGGACACTCCTCCTTGTGATTGGGTGTCATATGACATCCTGTCAAAAGGAGCCACCCATGCACCAACGGGGCTGAGCAGCAGTGCGATCTGTCACCAGCTGTGTCCACAGAACACAGCCGATGACATCTCACTACACCAGCCTGTTGCCAGTGTGGCCAATCACAGCATATCACAAGACAGTTGTATACAATGGATGGCTTCTTGTCATGCCATCCATTGTATACGATTGTGTTGTTAGCTGTGATTGGTCAAATCAGTCACATGGTACAGACAGGGCCAATCACAGCCCATCTGTATCATGTGATGAGCTTTGCTCAATCACAGCTAATCACAATGAAAGACTGAATGGATCAGTTTCATTCAGTAACAATGAGTGCAAATAGCAATTAAATATTCTGGTATTAGCAATCATAATGTGTTAAAAAGCTAAAATAAATTCCTGATCTCTTGCCCAGAGTAGTACTATAGTAACATTGTATTGCTTTGGTCACAGTGTGTTGGACAAAAAAATAGTAAAAAAACAAAAAATAATGTAATAAAAAAAAAAAAATAGAACAATTTGAAAATAAATACAAATGTAATTATTATTATGTTATTTTTTTTGTTACATATTGTCACCAGTCAGTGTGTCTGATCACTGCCACACTAGTTATATAATAATGCTGTACTGGACTGGTGACAATATGTAAAAAGAAAAAAAATATATATTTTCTTAATTATTACATTTTAAAAAAAATTGTAACAAAAAATTACAACCTCCAAAAAATTCACCATGCCTCTTACTATAAACCTTGAACTGTCTATTTTCCAAAAATGGGTAATTTTGGGGGTATTTTTTTACTATCCTGGAGTTTACAGGCCTCAAGAAATGAAATGGATTGTCAGATATATACCATGGTTTGTGGACTCCCTACAGAGTAAATAATATACACTAATTTAGGGTATTTTCACCAAAGAAATGTAGGAGAATACATTTTTACATAAATTTATGAAGAAATGTTATTTATTTTCAAAATTTTATGACAAAAACGAAGAAAAATTTGTTTTTTTTTCAAAAGCTTCCATTTTTTTGTTTTATTTAGGAAAAAAAAAAAACAGTGGTGATTAAATACCACCAAAAGAAAGCTCTATTTGTGTAAAAAAATGACAGGGCAGGAAGGGGGTAAAAGTGCCTTGTATTGAAGTGGTTAAAACCATTAATTAATTGTTGAGCTTTCTGACATTCTGGATAAGTTTCCAACCATGGTAACATTCCATTTCCAAATTCACAGGAGATGGTGCTTTTAAGAGAGGGCTCCTTAACATTCTATTGCTCAGATGAAGACAATTTTTTTAAACATTTAGTAATCGAATGTGAACCTGCACAAAACGCACATTTGTGCCAATATCTACAATTTGTATGCCATTTACACTGGCTGTCATTAAATGTGTAACAAACTTCCTTTTTTATAACCAGAAGAGGGTGTAGAAGACACATTGCTAGTTTACACACTGGGATCTGTTTCTGAGGCAAACATAAATTCAGCCATAGGCCAACATCTTTATTGCCCCATAGAAAATAAGGGTGGACTGATAGTTTTTGTCTGAAAGCTTCATCATAAGAGTACCAAGAGAATCCTCCAAAAATTTTAAAGGGGTCTAACATAATATTAATATGCTGGAACAAACCAGGACTGCACTCAGAACATTGCTCACAAATTACTGTATACTAGAAAATATACAAAAGGCTTGAAGCCATTTGTTGAATTATCTAGCAAATGGCCTTTTTCTATAGTAACGATACCCCTGAAGGGGCTGCTTAAGTTTGTTCACTCCGCCACTCTGCCTCTCAACCCCAAGAACTGTATCAGCCCCAACTGACACACCTGGCAATAGCGTAAGTGCAAGGACCAATGAAAAGCACACACTTTATAATAAAACACAGAGGTCAGCTTTAATGTCCTCTATGGGAAGTAATAAACATTAACAACAGCTATACCTTAGGTGAATCAAGAGAACAGCAAATACTGTGACCAAAAGCAATATAGCTCACTTTTACACTCAGGCTGCTTTCAGGGGATTCCAACCGTGAATAACCCCAAGAGCAGAGGCAAACACTTAAATGGCAACAACAAAGTGGGTCTAAACCCCTTTACATAAATTTGGCTCTATGATGTCTAAGCAGGAGGAGAGCAGATGAATGACTCTCTGTTGTGTCAGACTTCTCCCTTCTAACCCCCCGACACCACAAGCCCAATAGGCAAACACTGTACCCAACTGATGCTTAATAGCTACTTTCCAAGGTAAAGCTATTCCCTCACACACCATGCAATATAGAGGCCTGAATACGCATGCGAGTGCCCGTATGGCACCAGTAACTTCAGTCTCTTGGTAACAGGATGAATCTTGTGATCTTCAGCTAGTCACTTTAGTTGGAACTTAAACTCCTATGGTAAAGTATAATTGTAATCCCGTGGCAGTGTTTGTATAGCAAAGCAAATACTGTGTCTGTTTAGCAGGGCCATCTACACAACCCAGTGCCTGGTGAGTATGGGCGAAGTGTAATGTCTCTGTTTGTGTGCAGTGTTCCTGTCATCTGCCAGTGGGGAAAATCCCTCTCACCGGATTCTGTGAGTAAGGCCCAAACGATCGTCCTGGAAATGACAGGCTCCTCTGGTCACCTCACAATGAGTGCTTCACACTGTCGGTATAGACACTGTACTGTAGGCCCACATCTCTCAGTTTGGATGTTCCCCTGACTGATGCAGATAACTAAACACCCAGTGAACTGACCCTAAGCACTCCTTTGCTAGGTCCAGACTCTCCCCTGCCACATGCAGACTGCTAACCCTCAGGAAAAACAAGATGGAGTCCTTCATTCTACTCTCACTAAGCATGCTCGTCTCTGTAGTTCCATTCCTCAT